CACTTGCCTGCGTGTTTAGTCACATAGATCAGCAGCAGCAGCAGCAGCGAGGTCATTGTAGACATCCACTGAACCATGTAAACACTACTTGAATTATGTGGATTGTTGACTGTAGAAAGACATTTTTGTATTGCTAAAAGCTAACTATTTATTCATTGCCATAAAGTTACAGTATACATTTCTTCAGTCAAGCCAATTTTATTAGCTCTCCTGACTGAAAGTCACGTGATCATGTGTCATGGCCCGATTGCCTGTGTTCGGTTTGTGTTGCCACTTGTTCTTACCCTCAGAAACAACTACACCAATGAAGCAGAAACCTCAGACACTTGTCTTCACCATTGATAAAAACAAATATTGTTCTTGAGGTTAGAGGACGGTGGAGTAGCCTAGTGGTTAAAGTGTTCGCTCATCATGCAGAAGACCTGGGTTCGATTGCCCACATGGGTACAATGTGTGAAGCCCATTTCTGGTGTCCCCTGCCGTGATATTGCAGGAATATTGCTAAAAGTGGCATAAATCCTAATTCACTCACTCAGTCACTCATTCTTGAAGTTAGAATCTGACTTCCAATATGGTTGTCACAGCAGCCATATTAGTAATATGCACGTTACATAGCCATATTGAAAAACCTGAAACTATTGGTACATATAATTAAGTAAAGGAACGCAACATATATTTTTCTGTTTTGGGTTGGATTTTTTTATGCTTTGAATTTTATCTTAATATGGCTTTTGCACTTTGACTATGTTCCTGAATTCTCTCAACATAATTTTCCCCACATATCATCTCCTTTGAAACCACTTGAAGCTGAAACTGATTTTCTCACCAAGTCATACCACTCTTCCTTGTTACAATGATGCAGAGGTCAAAATATTAGTGTATTATTAATTTTAAGTTCATCAGTAAAAGTCTTCTGTTGAAAGGTTTATCAGAAATATAGAAAGAAGAATATATAGTAAACGTGTTTGTTTAATCGAAAAACAGCCCATTAAACAAAACAAAAGGACAATGGTAAAATGTTACCAAATTCATGAAATGTCACAAATGTATTACAGCTGAAGTATAGTGAAGAGAGAAACATGAGTTTCAATTATCAATCAATCATTAGTTTCTAGGAATGTCAGTATTTAGACTTTCATAATGACACTTTTCTTTCATACTTGAGAGAACAGAAAGACCATTGAAGTACATTGTGTGTATATGGCTATTGTGCCAGTGGCAGGAATAGAATAGATTGCATTATGTTCCACGTCAAGCTGTGTGGAGTAAATATCGGTACAAATTGTTTGTCCATTGGTATGTTTCACATCTTCTTAACATTTTATTCATCCTTCTTAAAAGCTTTTGAAACTCTTATAAGAAATGTTATGGTGCTTTATGCTTGACATTATAACAATGGAGCTGACACTTTCCTCTGAACTGACCATATATAAGTGATGCTTTGTATAACAATATGTCACCTTGATCTACATTCTGTGTGATATAACTATTTATCCTTTGACTGTGTTTATTATTCAAAATCAATTCTGGCACTGTTGCCTTGATTAGGATGAATCATCAAGTTTATGGAAAAGGTCAACCTGTGGACCTCTGAAGAATGAAAACAAAATAATTGAGTTACAGATCTCAAACAAAGAACTATTTGTGAAAAACTTCTTTTTTTTCGTTTTTATTCATTGTGTCGTTGAACTGTTTACTTGTGTTACATTGTGCCCAGTCATTGTTGAATATTTTGAAGTTTAATTCAGCACGTGCCATTGGGCCAAGTCTGGGTCGCAGGCACACATGGGCACCTGGGACAAAGATGTGTAACTAAGGAAAATAAGTTTGTTGAGGAAAAGTAAATGCGATTATTTGGTAGTGGTGTAGTGAGGATCGTCACCAAGTGGTCAGATTGCCCCAGACCTGACATATAAACATCCTTTCCTTGGGGAATCTATGGAATCTTCTTCAGCAGATAACATGTTACTGTGTTTTGTGTGTGTTAACCCCTTCTCTGCCAGGTGACAGAATCCCATTCAGTTGTTTTAGGATCTGTAGTCGCTATTAAGAGTTGGTAAACATTAGACATTGTATTCTGAAATAATCTTTGAGGTTTTCTGAGAACTTAATGAGAATGTTATGAAATTAATTTTCATTTTAATTTGTGACAAAATCATCCACTTATATCCATGCTGGCATTTAAGAAACATACCATTAACTATTTGGTTATAATGGTAAATCTTATCCAGACAAATGTATGAAAGACCTTTGTGACATTTACATATCCTGAAGTTTATCAGGCTTGACATGGTTTTAGTAATACTGATTAGTCTTACAAAGTAAGAATAATTGCTAACTCTCATGGATAATGTGAGATAACATTCTGTCAAGGGTTGATCTCCCTCTATATCACAAAACTGTTTGACCTGCACTCCAAATCCTTCTGGACGCATCACAAGTCCTGCTGTCCAGTGTTGTGTATTAAGTGGAGATTAGGAGGACACAGAGACCAGGCTTAGGACAACACACCAGCTATAAACCCACTGACCAAACACAAGAGGTACTAAACACTACAGGTGACACTGCCACTTTAAGTAGTAACAGTCTTTGTTGGTTGAGTAGGCCTGGAGTAATCCTTAAAGGGTCTCTCTCATACAAATAATGCATTCAGTGTTAAGATACTGTAGGTTTATCATTTGTTGTTGGGACACTTGCCTACATAGTGAAAGTAAAGGCGAGGATAAATCCAAATACATGCAGTTTGGGGGATTGACAAGATTTTTGTCCCAATGACTTTCCTGGTAGGCTGACATTAATTGTTTTGCAAATTATGCCCACAAGAATTATACATTGTACATTGCCTAATCACTGTATATATATTGAAACGGCTCTCTTCAGATTTTTTATCTGAGAGTTCTGTAAATCACAGTCTCTTTAACAAAATATTGACTTGGTATTTGATACCATTACACCCTTCAAATGACTAACCTGTGCATGCAAAGGTTCTATTTTATGTAATTATTACACAAACTAATTACCTTTGCGGAGATTGTTGTTAAGGTAATGCAGGTGTAACACATGCACACCTGGTCCTACCTGAGTTACCTGTCAATAATAACCCAGGTAACCTTGAGCCTTAGATCTTCTGGCGTGATGTTTCTCCTTAACGCAAATTTTGTCCCAAACTCAGGTGTGAAGGTATTATCCTGACCTCTCAGCAGGTATGATCCAGAAAGAAGTCCACAAGTTTCGAGTCTAATTGGTTATTTATGTGCCTTTGGTACTCCAGTGGTTCAACCGTTATCCTGTCATTTTGTTGAGCTGAGTTTGATTACCCATAAATTGTGAATGACAAATAAATTATTTGAAATTTTATATCAATGCCTTAACTGAATTCAGTGAGCTAATGAAGCCACTTTTATTTTCTGTCCAATTTTTCCAATTTCAATTTTTTTTTGGGTGGAGGCAGAGTGGAGGATGTTTTCAGGGAAACATAACGGTTGATTTCCTCTACCAAAATTGATTTGACATGTTCAAATCTTTGACCATCCTGTGTATTGGTGACATCTTCATTCAGAAAGATTTTCAGAGAAATCATATTTGATGAGTCATATGGCTGAAATATTGCCGAGGTGACGTTAAATTTTAAACTCACTCACTATTTGATAAGTCCATCAGGTGAAATATTTTCTTCAGCTATGCAATTCAGCTAAATTCAGCAACTCGGTGAAAACATTGTGACACTTCTGATACTGAGGTTTTGCAATATATTTGTGGTTAATGATCAGTTTGAATGTTGCCATTATGAAGTCAGTGTTGAAATACGTACATCTAAATCTCATATGGATAATATCAAATTCACTGACAGAAATAACACTCCCACTCAGGATGGTAGGTATTTTAAGCAGTTAGCTATTTTAAGAATTCTATTTGAGACAGGAAATGGATATTTTCAGCAATTTAATGACTAGTTGTTTCTTTGGCAGGTATCTCTCTTAAAACCGTCACATATTGATTTTACCACCAAATGTTTCTATTTACTGACAAAACATAACATCATTATATGGCAGACTGAATAATGAAATAATATTTCAATTTTTAGGAAATCATATTTCCCAAAGCATCCATTTCCTGACAGATTAACATAGAAATGTTAAAATAGCAGACTAAGTGTAATATCTGATCCATTAGTCTTGATCAGATGATTGTCAGAAAGCAAGGCAGTAATGTGGCCGCGGGGTTGGAGGAAAGTACTTTATGATATGTGGGTAGAGATGACGTCCACGTTGCAGTACCAAGTACCGCATTGTGTCTGTGAGAACCACACAGAATGTACTCTCGTTGTGGTGGAAGGATTATTTGATTGCTTTGTAATCAGAGGAATCATACTTTGATCTGAGGATGCCGTTTTTAATTCTTACAGGTAGCTAGATGTGTACATGTGTTTATTTTAACAAGTAGCCAGATGCGTATCGTTTACCAGGAAGCCAAATGTGTATTCATTTGAACACAGTCCGACATTTATTCATTTAACAGGTGTCCAAATGTGTATTCATTTTAGCGGGTAGCCCATCGTGTGTCTTCATTTCTGCCAGGTTCAATCCATCATGTCAGTTCCTGATGAACTCCAAATGATATATCAGTGCCCCAATCCTCATGGTGGGAGTGATCTTAGCACCATATGGGCCTGAAATATATTTGTTGGGAGATATATCCATCCTTATGTTGAGATCTCTTTGAGGAACAATCACTGTTCATACATTTTAGTATAATTCATAAATCTTCCCAATATGGCTGAAATATTGCCACTGTGACGCTAAATATGAACTCACTCACTCTTAAATCTTCCATTTCTAATTGAAGACTTTGATGAGAATACATACTAGTAACCTGCTTGTATTACTACTTCAGTATGCATGAATGCAAGAATATGTTTGGGTATAAGATTCCGCATGTTATCTATTCTATTCATCTGGGAAAATGGGCAGTAAGTTAATATTTTGTATTTTGTGTTTCAGGTAACCGGAATCGTGACCCCAGTACAGGGGCGCTGGAGTTCCGCATTGATCTCAACAACAGGTAAACCCTTCAAAACTTCCTCTTGAGGGTCACCAACCTGAGAGGCTTGAGATCCCATATGACCCTTGATTAAGAGCCTGGGGAGGTGGGAGGGGTTTGTTCAGCGAGATGTAGGCAAACAACAAATCAATAACATGAAAATCTATCTTGGGAGTGATTCTACGATTGACTTTTAAGAATCTTTTGACATTTTGAAGAAGAACGTTTTTATCTTAATCTCCAGATGCATTAAAGTTGAAGTAACATTTGAAATGTATGTATGCTCTTTTGGATTGAAAGACCTTTGGATTTTAAAGATCATGATGTTATTGATATTTCAGAGTTGCCTCATCTGAGACTGGAGGAAAACAGAAGGTGCAACCTGGGGAAGTGGAATTTGCCCCTGAATTTGGTGTCAAACCCAGGAGACAGTTTGTAGATGAAAATCAACCTGCCAAGTTCAAGATTAGCTGTGAAGGTCTACCAAAACCAGAGGTTTCCTGGACCAAAGAAGGAAAACTACTGAAAAATGATTCCAAAACAAAAGTAAGTATCTCAAATTTACATACACAGATTGTTTGGGTGCTTCGAGCATGCATTGTGCGTGGAGAATGCGTGTGATAAATGGACTACTATTATTATTATTTTTAAATTTAAGAAATTCAACTTTGTTGAACTAAAGTGATTAGGATGGATAAATGAGTTATTCGTAGTGTGGTTCTTGAAAGAAGCAGAGTCCCAGTATTAGGTCATAGTACAGAAAGTGGATTGTTTGGTCATTTTGGCTGCTTAGACAGCGGGAATTGGTTGTCAATATGCCTCTTGATTCTTCGGGGATTGTTTGGTTATTATGGCTGCTAAAACAGTGGGGATTGGTTGTCAATAAGTTTCTTGATACTTAGGGATTGTTTGGTCATTATGACTGCTAAGACAGTGGGGATTGCTTGGTCACAATGGCTGCTGATGAGTGACCTTCAGGGATGACTGTTTCTCAGTGGTTGTGTGTAAAACTCAGTGTCACATTTTTTATTGAAAATATTGTCACATGTTTTGATGACGTTTGTTAGATACTGATGTCACGTCGTGACATTCACAACATGCTAATGTCACAATGTTGTTTTTGGTGATGTATTAAGTTTCTCTAGGATATTAGGTAATCATTTTCTGTATTTCTGTTCAGATGTATGAAGAGGATGATTACAACATCCTAGAGATCCAGGACGTCACTGTGTGGGACAAGGGCATGTACACCTGTATCCTGGCCAACAAACTCGGCACACTGGAAGCTACCGCGGAACTCAGTGTGTTTGGTAAGTTACTGTCAGTGATGTGGGAATCATTATACCAATGTTATTTGATGGTTTCTTGGTAAATCATGAGAAAATCTGAAACTTTTCTTGATGTTTGTTTGATAATTCTTTTCATAGTTTGTTTGATAATTTCAATTCCAAGTGCAGCATATTATTTCCATACAACCTTGTTTACAGAGAAGCCAAAATCCTCATCAAAGAAGCCTGTTGGTCCAACTGTTGTTGCACCTCTGACCGATTCCACCACTGCAGAAGGCGAAAAGCGATTTGTTCTTGACTGCAGCTTTGCAGGTGAGGGAAAATACGTGAATGCATCAATGTCTGCATATGACCATAGAGCAGACTGTATTATTGCCAGAATCATGGAGAATGATGTCAAGTTTATCAGTGCAAATCACTTAAGGGTTTTATTTCAAGGGAGCAGGGAAATTCTAATTTAAGATCCTGCTTTATTTTCCACAAATATACCGATGGAAACAAATCAGGGAACAGATGAAGGTACGAGTGTTCATTATTCTTTTCCCCTTTCTTCACATATTTTGTATTGCACTGTGGGTGAAAATTGGGAAATAAACATTTTGCATTTTCATGTGTTCCCTTATTTGTTTCCATCAGTATGTATTGAATGTGAGCACATTATATAGAAGGAAAGATTAAACCGATGAGACTTTCACTTTCAGATGCCACCGACTGTTCCATCACATGGTTCAAGGATGGTGAGGAGATAAAGCCGGGTCGCGAGTTCCGGGCTCGGTTTGATGGCAGAGTTGCCTCCCTTACCATCTCCCGCGTCATCGAGGAAGATGTTGGCAAATATGAATGTGTAGCATCTGGACCCACAGGCTTAGAAGCCAAGACAAACTGTTACCTCAAAGTTGAAGGTGAGATATGACATAGAGAAATAGTACTTCAGTAGTTTATCCACATATGAATGTAAATTATTTATGAATATACACTGGGCTTGTCACAGTGATGACTCGGATTCCATCCTCCTGATGGAAAGAAAGCTCTTGTCTCTTCATGACGGAAATACTGTTCATGTGATTCTCCATTTTAACTTGTATGGGTACCCAGGGGAAGTCATAGACAGAATGGGTTTCAGTTGTCCCAGTGACTGCCAGAAGAGCCGACTTCATGGTTTAATGGGGATCAGATGATCAACATGCTGAGGCTTACAACATTCACAATATGCTCAAAGCCACACTCAGCAATATTCCAGCTATATGGGGAAGGTCTGTAAATATTCGTGTCTGGATCAGACAATCCAGTGATCAACAGCATGAGTCATCCAAGTCAGGGAGCCTGACCACCCAATCCCATTAATCGCCTCTTACGACAAGCATGGGTTACTGAAGACCGATTTTAACCCAGATCTTCACGGGTTTAAAAAGTAAAGCTTTGCATGGGTTTGTTTTACTTGGACAATATGCTCACAGGATTTTTTTAAGTAAACTCTTCACTCGACTTTGAGGCAATATATATTTATCTTTTCACATTGTTTTTTGAAAAGACAAACATCTGGTGATTCATTAATACAAGCTATTGATGTAGTCAGAACTGTACGATGGCATCTGCTTTTAGCAGAGATTTTTGGTGATTATTGAGAAAGCTTTTTAACTTTGATTTTGTGATGGAAGCTCTTCGACTGTTGTGTTTATCTGCTCTAGATTAGATAGTATAATTTATTTCACTCACTTGTACAGAGTGTATGCTGGCAGGGGCAGAAAAAAAAATTCAATAAATTTTAACTGAACTTTAGATGTTGATAGCTGGTTTATGAATATGAAACTAATTTTTGAGGTAATGACTTTTTGTCCTTGTTTCAGTTTCCAACGAAAAACGTGAACCTCCAGTGTTTGTGCGAGAACTGCGTGACATGGAGGTCGACAATGGAGACAAAGTTGAGCTGGTTGTGGAGGTCAAAGGTAATGAAGCATGACTATCATACTGCTATAGAAGTGTTCTAACCATATCTGCAACCTGACCTAAATGTGTGACTAAAGTTTGAGTGACTGCCTCTAGAAACATGACTTACACATATGACTATATGCATGGTCTGCAGGAGCCAGAGTATGTGCCATTATGTGATTTAGAAAATACTGAAGTTGAAATACTGTTTTCCAAAGCCATAGGAGCATGCAGAGACCAAGCCCTAAACTGTATCTCATTGCATCTTGAATTAATCCATTTTGTCTAAATCCTAAAGCTCCATCAGTATAACTTCCCTGTTTGGGAACAGATTCTGCTTTCTCTGACCTTAGGCAACTTCCTCGATTGGTGTCATCTGCAGCCATATTTTTATGGTTTACAAATAACAGATTAGCAATGAAGTTTATTGTCGAAAGAATAATTAGTTTCTACAAACCTGCATTAACTTGTATGTGTCGGCAAGCTTTGTGGCAGCTAAACAAAGTCTGTATTCACTTCTGTCAAGAGATGGGTTTGTTGAAAAGTATATTTAATGTATTGTGTTATGTAGTAATTAGATTCCTAATCAATAAAATATGTAAAGAAAAGATAATATATCAACTTTAACTTTCATTATTTGTGTAACTGATCGGTCAACCCCAAATAGAAATATGTGGCATAGCTACAGCTTCCTTAGATAATGCTATTGTAGGTCTATAGCATCTTTTTCTGCTGAAATACCCTGCTGAGATCTCAAGCTGTAGGTTGCAACTCTCAACATCCTTTAACACTGCTGCCTAAATATGCTGGTGATACAGCAGCTTGAACTATATGTGTGGATTCTGTGCAATGTGAAATAAATATCCCAAGTGTGGTATACATTTTTATCCCTATGTGTGATACGACCAATATTCCATGTGTGATTAAATGAATCCCGTATCAGTGGTATATCCTGTCTTTGTAACCAGGGCTCCAGATAAAGGCCGTATCAGCATATGTACGGATAAAAATTAAGCATGATACGACAGGAAATAATTTAGGAAATGTAGCAGATACACACCATAGCAATGGTGTATGGTCTAATCATTTACAGATGTATTTATCTGAAAAATGATTGATTTATTGTATATTGACCTGTTTACACAAGAGTAGCAATGTTGTGGTGCATATATGAAACGAAACACAAGATTACTGATTACAGTACTCTAAATGTACTCTTAAGTTTTTCCAGTACTCCTATATTGAACCGCCTCCATGGTGTAGTGGTTAGAGAGTCCGCCCGGAGAGCCGGAAGGTCGCGGGTTCGTTTCCCCGACCGCGTCATACCAAAAGATGTTAAAATATGGTATTTGTTGGTCCCTGCCTGGCGCTCGGCATTAATGGGTACAACAAGGACTGGTCGGCTCGGAGTCAGTATAATGTGTCTGAGAGGGGTATTCATGCTTCACTGCGGCATGGTATCTCAGTGGGCTAGCACTATAAAACCAGCTTAAGTCTGGGCTAGTACAAGCAGCCGCACATACACATGCATGCACGTCGTCATATGAGCAAAATATTCTCAAGCACGACGTTAAATCCAATTTCACCTCACCTCCTATATTGAAAAAATAAGGAGTACGTACTCCTGATGTTGAAAAATTATCTGGAGCCCTGTGTAACCATGGTAACATGACATGTACCCATTCTGCTAGAGCTTGATCTATCCTTCGCATGCTTGCTGCACGATTTCCGCATGTTGTGTTTTCAGGCAGTGAACCAATCGATGTGTTCTGGATACATAATAACAGGGAGGTAACTCCGCAAGACACGGAGTGCCAGCTGATAAGGAACGGCAATATTCATAAACTCGTTATTCCCCAAGTGTGTCAGCAAGACGCTGGGGAGTATGTCTGCGAGGCATACAGTGATTATGGTGATACCGACACGTTTTGTAGACTTAATGTTCGAGGTAGGAATGACACGTAAACTGTTTAAAGTCCTACTAGAGGTCACCAGGGATTAATGAAGGTGTCTGTCAACAAGTGTTGATATGGAATGTGTTTGTGTATGTATGCATGAATGTCATATACGCATTTTGAAGTTTGGAGAGTGTGTTTTGTGAAAAGATTATACAATGTCATAAAGAGTTTATAAAATAAACTCTCCAAATATTTGATATCCCTACTTGATAAGACATTATTTATAATTTAAACATTTTGAAATTAATTTCATGCAGAGACATAATTATTTCCATATCTTAACTTCTTTGATACACATTCTTCTTTTCATTCATAAATAATAAGTATGATTTAAGTAATATTTTACACTTGATAAACTTTATTCAATATTCTCAATCTTTTTCTCCTTTTCTCTCTTCAGAAAATGAACTTCCCAGCTCACCGGAATCAGAAAGTTCCTGAGCATGATTATCTCCCTTTAGTATATCCCATCATTCCTATTTCTACCTCCATTTTCTCATTTTTGTTTGTCTATCCATCTTTCCCTAACACTTACTCTACCTTTCCTTTCTTCCCTGCCTCTGTCACTCACTCTTTCCAACCTTATTAACCCCATGTTTTGTTTGAGTTTGAATCATTGTTTTAAACAGACGTAGAGCTCCCCGCCCCTCCCGAATTTGTCTCGAGTCCCCGTCTTTTAACAACAGAAGAGGGCTCAAGTACAATGTACACGTGTAGGGTGAAAGGTCACCCAGTACCCCACGTCTCTTGGGAGAAAGATGGCATAGCCATCAAGGAAAATAGCCATTTCAAGGTAAGAATTAAACACAAAGAACATTTTGCTACCCAATAAAAAATACACCATCATCTAATACCTCCGTACAAATATTGTAATAAGTGTTTTGAAAGGAACTAATATTCAATGCAGAAAGTTTATGTTCACTTGATAAATATTGTGAGAAGAAAATGTTATCCGAGAAATGTCTGTACGCCACTGTTAGGGACCGTTCATAATTTATGGCTAGGGGGGTGATGATGATTTATATTGGAGAAGCATGTACAATGTCAATGACCCCCCTAAAATTTATGTACAAAATAAGTGACCCCCTGCATGTCATGTACAAAATCAATGACCCCCTCCCCTTCCCATAATTTCTAAGCATAATTTTAAACATATTTTTATGTACAAAATTGCTGACCCCCCCTAGTACGTGTGTACAAAATTGCTGACCACCCTAGCTCCTCAGAACAAAATGGGTGACCCCCTTAAAATCATCATCACCCCCCTAGCCATAAATTATGAACGGTCCCTTACAGTTCAGGGTCCAGGGTCCCGTTTCACAAAGCGATCGTAGTACTACGACTGTCGCAAGTCAATGTTACAATATGGGAGTTACGATCACCTTAGCGCACCGATCGCTTTGTGAAAAGAGGCCCCGATCCACAAAGCATTCGTAGCACTACGTCTTTCGTAAGCCTATGATAAACTTTAGAGTTACAATAACTTGTAATGCTACAAACCGTTGTGGATCGGGGCCCAGATTTCCTTCCTATCTTCCTTTCCTTCTACATGATAGGGCTTGATATTTGGAAGAAATGAGACCTTATTAATGATTTCGATGTATGTTCCAGATATCAATGCAAGGAGATGAACATATTCTGGAGATACTAAACACGGCTAAGACAGACGCAGGAAACTTCACCTGTCGTCTATGCAACTCAAATGGGGAAGTGTCCAACACTGCCACACTTGTAGTCAAAGAGAAAACAGATTTTAGATCTGTCCTTAAAACAAGGTAACAGTTCTAACATTGCCACGAAGGAGGAAGCAAATTAATGTTACACCTTTAAAAGCTCATCACTTTTAGCTCTGTACAATCTGAATTCCTTGATTTATCTATAATTGATTTATGATGTTGTTAGTCACAATATGGCTGAAATATTGATGGTTTGCAGTCACTCATTCATTCTACAGTCTTAAAATGTCTGTCCTTTTCAGACCAACTCTTGGAAAACTTGGAAAACAAAACAGCACAGATTCTGAAAAGTCAGATAAAGAGAATGATCTACAATTCCGTCATGTATTACGCAAGAGTGATCGATCAACACCACCTGGTGGCTATGATGACAAACGTTCACGTTCTGGGGTACAGCAAGTTGACTTTCGCAATGTCCTCAAGCACAAAACAAGCAAACCTGATTCAGTATTAGCGCCAAAATCAAAATCATTTGAACCTGTGAGAGAAACAGCGACTCTGAAGTCAAGAGAAGCTTATAAACAAAACAGAGACTGGAACAAGACAACTACTGTGAAGACAGAAACAATCTCTGTAAAAAGTGTCTCCAAATCAAAATTATATGACTCTCCCAAAATAGAGACCAATAAGTTTGAAAAAAGTTCAAATGTTAGTTTAAAGAAATCTCCCCCTCAGGAAGATGCTGCTCTGAAAAGTAAGCTAAATAAGTTTGAGCAGATGTCCAGTCATGAAGAGTCACCCTCAGGATCTTTTGTCAAAAGTCACACCAAACAGGGATCTCTACAAGGAAGATTAGATAAATTTGAAAAGAATAAACTTCAAGATGAAGTGAAAACCAAAGTTCAAACAACACTACCTACCTCCCAAACACCTGATAAATCAGTGTTAGGAAAACTTAACAAATTTGAAAAACTTTCAAGCGGTGAACATACATCTGCTAAGAAGAAAACACCCCCACCTACACAAGCCCCCAAACCCCGAGGAAATGTATTGGACAAATATTCCTTCAAGGAGAGGACATCGCCAAGTCAAAACTTGCAAAACGGTAAATCAGATGTAAAGCAGGAAGATCTAGCATCTAAAAACAAAATGACAGAAAAAACTGTGAAATCTCGCAAGGAGAAATTTGAGCTTTCTCCTGATACTGCACCACCAGAGAAAACAAAGCAATCAAAATTAGAAAAAAGCAACAAATTTGAAAGTTCCCCAGAACAAACATGGAGGTCAAGACCAGAAGGAGAACCTCTGTCTGTGTTGACAACAAGACACTCAGACATTGTTCAACAACCTCCACAAGTCCAACGCCAGTTGGCAGACCAACGTGTTCGTTATGGCCACCAGGTGGTGCTGGAGTGTGAGATATCTGGAGGATCTGTTGACTGGAGTGTCAATGGTAAAGCAATTCGGGTACGTCTAAAACCCAAAATCTTTGCGGTCTTATGATACATTTACCTTCGACTGATCCACTATGAATCTTCAACATAATTTTTTTTATTACATTTTCTTCTTGCAAGGTAAATTTTCATGATGGTAAAAAGAATTGCCTAAGTTAAAAATGTTATCTCAAATAAATATAAAATCGTGTATGTAGATTAATCTAACACAAGTTAGCCTGAAGCAAGTAGGATGAACATTTACTGAATAAATTATGAACATATTTTTAGCATTTTATGAACAATTTAAGAAGGTATGTTGGTGTTTTTTGCCAGTGTTCCAAGTTTTTCAAGATGGCAGTGACACCTGAAAATGTCGCAACTCTGATGATCGCAGAAGCATACTCTGAAGACGAGGGAGAATATATTTGCACCGCCACCAACAAGTTTGGAACAGCTTCTACATCATGCAGGCTGTTTGTGGAGGGTATGTATTCAGGAGGCAGGGGATAGCCTAGTGGTTAAAGCGTTTGCTCATCACGCCAAAAGCCAGTGTTTGTTGCCTGACATTGGTACAATGTGTGAGCCCAATATCTGGTGATACTGCTGGAATAGTTATGGTTGTAAGAAGCAACTTAATGGGTCAGATTCAGCGTCTTGCTTGATTGTGTGTGATCATATAGCTAACATATAGCTATAACGTATATCGACCGCCTCCGTGGTGTAGTGGTTAAAGCGTCCGCCCAGAGAGAGGAAGGTCGCGGGTTCGATCCCCAACCACGTCATACCAAAAGACGTTCAAATATGGTACTTGTTGGTCCCTGCCTGGCGCTCGGCATTAATGGGTACAACAAGGACTGGTCGGCTCAGAGTCAGTATAATGTGTCTGAGAGGGGTATTCATGCTTCACTGCGGCATGGTATCTCAGTGGGCTAGCACTATAAAACCAGCTTAAGTCTGGGGTAGTACAAGCAGCCGCACATACACATCGCACATACACGTCGTAATATGAGCGAAATATTCTCAAGCACGACGTTAAACCCAATTTCACCTCACCTCACCTATAACGTATATCATTGGTTTGCCTGGTCCAGACTTCATTACTTACAGGCAGTGGTCATATTGCTGGATTTATCCTCAGTACGGTAGAACATCAAACAGCAAACAAACATGCTTAGTCTCAAATACATATTACCACACATCGGCTTTCACTATCATCACTGTAATTATCTTCCAGCATCCAGTTCCCTCTCTTCACGCTCTGACATCGAGGGTGCCGTGACGATACCTGCTCGTCTTCTGACTATCACTCCCTCTTCAGTGGCTGTGACCAGAGGTCAGAAGGTCGTCGTCGAGGCAACTTTCAATGGAGAGCCCAAACCGGAAGTGAGGTGGTTCAAAGGGAGAGATGAAATTCTGAAAGGTAGGATAATCTGTCAAATATTATTTATTATTATTATAGGATATTTATATAAGCACATATCCACAAACTAGTGCAAGCTCAAGGCGCTGGTATTTTTTCCCTCGATCATTGGATGTCAATCTCAACGGCACATCGCATTATCAATCTCAACTCCCTGGGGATCATACAAATATACTGAATATGATGCCTAAGTTGCAACGGGTTCACTTTGAACATTTTAAAACCCCTTAATTTGAAAACCTTTTGAGGTTTTTGCTGCAACAGTTAATAGAGAATAATGAGGCAAATTTGTAATGATAATTGACCAAAATAGTTTCGTCATTTGCATTTCATGTCAGGCATTTGCTGCATCAAACATGCTCAGGTGCTATCATGCATCAGGGTTTTATTTACCCTCTGACATAGTTGTGTCTTTAGATTTAAAAGGGGCAGTGGGGTAGCCTAATGGTTAAAGCATTGGCTCGTCACGCTGAAGATCCGGGTTCGAATCCCCACATGGGCACAATGTGTGAAGCCCATTTCTGGTGTCCCCCGCCGTGATGTTGCTGGAATATTGCTAAAAGCGGCGTAAAACCAAACTCAGTCAGTCAGTCAGTCAGTTAGATTTAAAAATTTGTGGTAATTTTCCTATGATGACATGACATTTTGTACTGTGGGCTAAGTTCCGTTTTTATCCTTCAGACAGGAGAATCCAGCTAGAAAGTACCGGCAACCACAGTGTCCTGACAATCAACAAAGCAACACCGGAGGATGCCGGCAGATACATGATCGCTATTGAGAACCATGCTGGCAAGGATTCTCTCTGTGCCTCAGTCAGCATAGAAGGTGGGTGTTGTTTCAACTATCTCAGTCCCTAAACAACATTGTTTTCCCTTACACCTCCTTCTAAATAAAGAACGTCCAGATTTTCCTCAGGTTTTGAATCTCCAAGCTAATTGTGATTCGATCATTGTTGGAATTTCAGATGTCCCCGAACCACCCGGCAAACCCCAGGCTAACGACATCCTGCGAACATCAGTGGTATTGTGGTGGTGTGGCGCCCCCTATGATGGGGGCTCTCAGATCACCCATTACAAAGTCCAGTTGAAGAAAGTTGGAGACTCTAACTGGACGACTCTCACCTCGGGTTGCAAGGTGCGTACATCTCTTTTATTTGCCTTGTGGCTCAATTGGTGAGAGCTGTTCTAGAATAGGTAGTGTATGCGCTCAAATTTTTGACTAACTGTTGAAATGATCTTTAAAGTCATGTCTTTGCTCTTGAGATAACCTTCAATGTCACAAGGTCAGTCCTCCTTGCCTCGCCTTCTTCCCACATATGCTGCCACACTGTGATGTAACTGGATTTACTGCTCTGAATTGACAAAGATGCATTAAACCCAAATAACTCCTGTTGCTCTTTGTCAGTCATTTGTCTAGTCATAACATGATTATTTTCAGGCCACCATGACATAGTGTAGAGTTTACAAAACAAAGCATGAAAGTATCGGCCCTTATCGTACCCCTAAATTCAAAGTCCTCAAGGGTCCCAAAAGAACACACTACCTACACCACCACCTTTTCTCTTTCTCCCTCCTGACACAGATACCTTTACTTCAAATACTGATTGGAATATAATGGTGATGGCGTCACAAACCATCTCAACAATATAGATGCTGAGATTTGAAGTATGAACTCTATGATTTTAGAACACCTTCTATCAAGTGGACAATCTAGAAGAGAAGACTGCCTATTATTTCCGTGTGTACGCTGCCAACAAACATGGACACAGCAGCCCGGGGGAGATGTCTGACAAGGTCTTCACGTCCAACAGGAAAATCTCCCTGGATTATGAATCTGATGGTAAGTACTCACATGTGTATGGATGCTAGCTGATGGCTCTGTAGGAGGTGCTCCAGGAATCTGTCACAGCACTGTTCTCTTCTACAACACGTTATGCAGATAAGGCTTGAAACAATGTGATTGGTTCTCATGCACCACCTGCACCTTCAAAGTTACCTCAAATACTTGTATTTGTATAGCATTTTTAAAAACGAATAGTTAGGGATGGGGCAATGGAAGAGAAACTTTACTTGAAGACTCTGAAAGCTATGAGGAAAGATTCAGGATGCTGTTAATGCATTATTCATTAACAACCTGATCAGAACATGTGTTTTTCTGTATTATGGCAGATGCATAGCATTGTAAAGAAAATGAGTTGTTATCACAACCCGTGCCAAAGAACTAATTATTATATTTCATAGCCTATATAATGTTAGTGTTTGAGAATCTTTCATGTAGCAGCATGAATATAGCCAGCATAAAATACTTGGTTTGATTTATTGAGAAAGTCCTCAGTAAAAACAGACCCTAAACCTGACCAAAGGTAGATAACTCCAAATGAAAATCCTGCTAATATATAATCGCATTGTGCTATATAGTGCAGAGCCTCCTGGCATCAGCTGTGAGAAACATATATCTGGCTTGAAGCATTTGCTGAGATTGATGCATGATGGAATTTGTATATCAATTTACCAGAAAAACTAATTTCAATAAGATGTTCACAATGCTACACCATGTCATTGCCTGGTTTCCCTGGGTCAAGGAGCATGTCCAGTTTTGACAGCACACAACTAACCATTGCATCACGTCAATAATATTTGAAGTAGAAAATGCAAGACATGTATACATATATATTCTGCTCTAAGCTGCATGAAGTAGAACTTAGAAATAGGAGAGTTGCTAACAGCAATCTTATATTAATATTGCCATGCTATTAGAGTACATAGTAGCTTTATGTGACCTCCAGTTAAATGTTCATTTTAATTGTCATTATGTATTTAACATAATCTATTTTTAGATGTGCTGTGATCACTAGAAAAGTAGTTTTGGGAATTCTCTGGAATCATTATATCGGTTTTCCAGTGGATTCTGATTTATTGCTTGTAAACTCAACCAGTTCACAAAATGTTTGAAAAATATGATACAGTTTGATATTATATTGACGGAGAAATCAAATTTGATTCAGTGAAATACAAAAATCAATTTAAGAATAATTTGTACAATGATTTGTGAAATGGTTGAGTTGCACATTGGTTTTTTGTGTTTCTTCTTGCTAGTTGTATTTGGATTGACAACATATTTTGGCGTGAAAAATATTCTATTTTTCGACCCCTACATAAAAACACCATGATTAAAACGGAAAACATCAACAAGTTAATTAACTATTCACATGTTCAAGTTGTCCATCCTGTTTTACATCTAGACACCTGTCTGAAGCATTAGTCTCTTTGCTTATATCACCTCTCTCTGACATTACCATGGTTACAGGCGCACCTGAAGTATTCTCACCTGTGGAAACCAAGTTCAAAGGTAACTTGTTGACATTCAGGCAAGGGCAGATAAGCTGACTTACAAATATTGACAGGGTCTCCTGTCTTGTTAATCCTGTATATATATGGTTTATATCTGGAACAAATGTATGGGATATGAAATCTTAATATACTGTATACTTATATGGGATGATTATTCTGTCGTAGCATACTGTATTAATCACTTTCTGATGATTATTCTTAATAAACTGTTTATGCTGTTATGACAAAGCAGTGGATTGTAAACAGGTAGTAAACCACTTTAATCAAGCCAACAGTGCCTGAAATAATCCATTATATAGTCACATGGAATAACATTCTATGTAATAAAATACTGGCCAGTAAGAGAAGATACTCAATATTGAACCATGTTGGAAATGAATGGCCAGAAAATATGTTTAGAAGTATATGAATTATTTTACTCTGATATTCCCATCAGCTTGAAAATGCATCAGGAGACACAGCCTTTAAATAACTTATGACACCACAGGAATTTCAGACACAGCTTTATGTATATCATTTGACTTATTTCAAGACTTTTGAAATAGCTTTAAGTATTTTGGAAATATATTATTCTCATTTTCAAATATATTTTGAATAATATAATATAATAATGTATGTATTTCACAAATGGGTGAAGTGTTACTTGATTATCTTCTATTACTTCGAAGCAAATGAGACCCTGTGGAAAATGCTTGGCTGAAGTGATTGGCATGTAGAATACTGTTGAATTGTTGATTATACATGTGCATGTATTCTATAGCTTGTGTTAATTAACTGATTAACAAAAACAAAAACAAGTTGCCAATAACCACTACCAGTTTACTTAAATCACACAGCATGTTAATTGTTTCCCCCTAGTTATTTACAAGTCACAGGTAATTTTGACATAAATGAGAACCTTAACACATGTCATTTGTTTCAATTATTATTTTGATTTTTTAGACGAACTTCCATTTGAGCCTAGAGAAGTGAAAGTGGAACCATCAAGGAAGTTTGAAGATGAGTATGAGATCATGCACGAAGTTGGGAAGTAAGTACCGTATATTAGTCAGTCGTCTTTCAATAAGCCATGATATAAGAGCCATTTAGAGTAAAATTCGACGTTACAGCTTTTGTTAAAGAAAAACATTTTTCAATACTATATCTCAATCTCAACTGAATTAATTATATTTCTTAATATGTTTGTATTTGTGTGAATGGTGAGTGAATGGATTGTCTTGTTTCGTAAAAATTTCCACCTGTATCCCATTAAATTACTGTATATCTTTGGACTGAGCTGTCCCCTGGCTGCTTAGTTTTGACTGTAACAGCGATTCAGAAATAAAATTTAAATTCATAAGGTCATGTAGAGATCATGTGGGTATATTGTGCAGTGCAGAGATAGCTACAGATTGTCATAATTCCGGACAATTTTCATGTAAATAAGCTTAGTATTATGATCAAATTGATTATTACAAAAACATTTATTTTAAAAAAAAATGCCTACCTTCAATAGTTACTCATCTTGTGTGATTTGACGTAGATTAATATTATGTCTGGAAGTATCTCCTATCATCATGTGGGGAGCTCATAATCCATTCAAAGATATTTGCTAGTTTCTGATTTTTATGAAATAACTGGCCAGCTTCTTTGAGAAAATATGGTAATATATTTCCAAATGTAAATTGTCTGCCCACAGGTTACCAGGGAAAGTAGGAATGATGTTATGATATTAGCAATGGCACATAGTGATAGAAATATTAAACTAAATACAGGTGATGTTATACAGGATTCTGTACTTGTCTTGTGTTGATTCTAGTTGTATATCCTGCTCTTATCTACTTATTCTATCTATCTCTAGAGGCAAGTTCGGCAACGTGTACAAGTGTAAATCCAAAGAAAGTGGCAAAATCTGGGCAGCGAAGATTTTGAAATGTCGAGAAAAAGAAAAGGCCAACATTCGTCATGAGATAGAAATCATGAATGATCTGGCGCATCCCAAACTTATGATGATCTGGGACGCCTTTGAGGCTCAACGTAGTATGACTCTTGTCATGGAATTGTAAGTCTATGAAAGCCTGTGTTGTTTGATTCTTTGAGGTCAGGGCAGTGGGGTAGCCTAGTTATTAAAGCGTTTGCTTGTCACACTGAAGACCTGGTTTGATTCCCCACATGGTTACAATGGAAGCCATTTGTTGTGTCCCCTCCCGTGATATTGCTGGAATATTGCTGAAAATGGTGTTAAGCCACACTCACTCACTCACATGGGAAAATTGTGAAGCCCATTTCTAGCGCCCCCTTCCATTACAATGCTAGAATATTGTTAAAAGTAGGGTACATCCATATCAACTCATCCACTGTAATTAAAGTTTCCTCAAAATGCTAAATGTTATGTTGCAGCGTTGGTGGTGGCGAGTTGTTCGAACGTGTGATCAGCGATGATTTTGAGCTGACAGAGGGCGACTGCGTCCACTTCATGCGTCAGACATGCGATGGCGTAGGCTATATGCACAATAACGGCATCCTTCACCTTGACCTTAAACCCGAGAACATCCTATGTATCTCGGACAAAACTAACCAGATCAAGATCATTGATTTCGGCCTTGCCAGACGGTATGAGGATGGCAAGAGCGTCAAAGTTCTTTTCGGGACGCCCGAATTCATCGCCCCGGAAGTTATCAACTACGATGAGATCAGCTTTGCCACCGACATGTGGAGCCTTGGTGTCATTTGTTACCTCCTGTGAGTCCCTTTGCTCTTCCTTCTGTTGGGGTAGTCTAGTGGTTTGGCCGTCACGCCGAAGACCCGGGTTCGAATCCCCACATGGGTACAATGAATGAAGCCCATTTCTGGTGTCCCCTGCCTTGATATTGCTGGAATATTGCTAAAAGCAGCGTAAAACCAAACTCAGTCAGTCAGTCTGTCTGTCAAAATGAGGCTGATAGCACTCCTAACAGGTTAACCAATCGCCTTGTACCATGGCTTCGAAACATTGTGAAGATGTCCCAAGACTTTCATTGCCTTATCGTTTTGTAATCAGACTATGTTCCCTTTTCGCAAAGCAATCTTAGCGCTATGACCGCTAAGTATATGCTTAAGTATGCAAGCGTCCTCGTACTTTAACTATAATAGTTCAGGGCGAAAGTGTGCTTTATTACACTATACATGGTGGTAGAGCGAACTATATTTCTTAAGTCTAATGATAATCTTTTTCTAAGATAATTTTGTAAGTGTTTGAGAAATCTCAGAATAGGTGAGAATAGTTGTAAAATATATCAACGGTTGTTTGGAGGGTATTCAACAACATGGCAGCTGCCAACTTGCCACTATTGATGAACTTCCTGTGTTTTCAGTAACATACTATAATTAATATAGATCTGTCAGTTGATCTTCCAGTTTACAACTGTGAATAACATGAGCTTTGTCTGCCATAAAGGAAGTTAACGTCGTAAATATCTCAAAAAATGAAAAATAATTGGAATATACTTAGATTTGGTCTTGGTATAATTCAATACATTATTTTGTACCCACGCACAATATGATGGCAAATCAATTGACAGTGACACCATCAGTGTTGATAAGTTTGGGGGTGTGCAAAATGAACATGCTAGGTCTCTCTCCCATGAGTGTCATGATAGGGACCAGGGATTGTTTTAGGCTTTGAAATAGTGAATAACAGTGTGGGTGTAATTTTGGTAATTGTTGTTTGTAATAGGTAGTGTCAACTGAATCACTGTTTGTACATTGTATCTCTGATGTGCTCAATAACCGGTGCATGTTATCAAGCTGTCATCACTGGGAATCAAGTAAATGAACAAAAACTGTAAGTGTACTTGATTTATGAGGTAAAAGCCTTGTGTACATCGAATTCAATTTGTTTCTATTTTATCTTCAACAGATTATCAGGCTTATCTCCCTTCCTGGGGGATAACGACGCAGAGACGTTAGCAAATGTTACCCGGGGCGAGTTCGACTTTGATGACGAGTCATTCGATGACATTACTGATAATGCCAAAGATTTCATTACGCGTTTGATGATCAAAAACAAAGAGTAAGTAATTCATCCAAATAGTTATACACTATACAAAAATATAACGGATTTTAGAGTATTTTTATGAAGTTCTCCAACAAAAGCATAGCTATGTAGAACAAACTTTATGGATAACAACTTCTTTTTATTCGTGAGTGCGATGTTTCGATACAGTTTCTTGTACTCACGAATAAAAAGAAGTTGTTATCCATAAAGTTTGTTCTATATTGTACTTCCCAACTTCTAAAATGCCACTCAAAGAAAAAGCATAGCTAAAGTATACTAATGATCTTTTATTTTTTCTGTTGAGTATAACTATGCCGATTGTGCTAAATCCCAATGTTTTTTGTAAAGAGTCAGTGTCTACAATATGTGGCAGATTGTGTGTCATCGTACCCCAATGAAGGAATCATGTATGTACCATCCACTGGTATCTCTTCACCTCGTTTTTACATACCGTACATTCTGCCGTCATTGGGGGTGGTGGGGTAGCCTCGTGGTTAAAGCGTTGGCGTTCAAATCGCCACATGGGTACAATGTGTAAAGCCCATTTCTTGTGCCCCCTGTCGTGATATTGCTGGAATATTGCTAAAAGCGGTGTTAAACTAAACTCACTCACTTACTGATGTCATTAGCAGAATTGTTACTGACAGCAATGTAAATAAACACACCACATGCAATTATCCAGAATAGTAAAAATTCCCTGAATTTTACATTCAGCATTAATATATTAGCATTATGTCAGTGTTGTCATGTATTAAGACAGTAGTTTAACTATCATTTTAATTGGTTTTTCAGCAAACGCTATCTGATTAAGAAAGCCGAACAACATGTATGGCTTTCCCAGGATGAGCGACGAATCAGAAGTAAACGTCTCAATACTGAGAGGCTAAAGCGATTTATGTTGAGAAGAAAATGGCAGGTGTGTACACTCAGGCAATTCTAAACTTCTAAAAGTTATTAATTTCCCTTAAATTGAGACTATGAGGTAAAAGTGATTTAAGAGTGGTTCAAGTAGACATTCACTAGTCCCATAGAGATTCTTGTGGAGCATCCAAATCGATCACACAATCAATCTCGCACACTTCATGCGTATGCTCTTGCTCTGAAAGTGTGGATTGTTGTGAACGATATTGATCACTGGATCATCTGGTCCATTTGCATAACACTTTCAATTGGCTGGAATGCTGCTGAGTGAAACAAATAATATGTATCATTGTTTAATAATTTTCATTTATGTCAAAAGCTTTTGAAGATAGCAGTAGTAATTTGGGAGTGGTTTTGGTTTGGAAAAGTTTTGCTCTATATTTTCTACCTCAGTAGTTCAAAGAATGTGTAGAACAGATGTTTGTTAGATATTTCTGTGTTATATCCATAGCGTGAACAAACTTAACATTGCACCATGTATAATGATTGTGTGTAGTTGTGTCAACTAATATCACCTTGACTTATTCAACCCGAAGGACTCGTGAGGTACAGTAAAGTGTGGGCTATCATGGTCTTGCTTACTCTCTCATGCAATGTCTCTGTTAATTTATAAACTGATCTGTCTCAGAAACCACTGCGCAAATTAAAAATAGTTCTAATATTACATTTGTAATTTTTCCTAGGAAAGGAGACAAGTGCTTTTAAACTGTTGAATTTGAAGTAATGATTCAGGAATTTTTGGGGGCAAGCTGATATCTTGGGTTGTGATGGTGTTGGTATATATTCTCCTATCATGTATTGTGAGCTTTGGCATGGGCTAAGCAATCATCACAAGCAGCACAGGTGGTATGCTGTGCTGCAAGTGTCATGATTTCTCCAGAAATATACTGCATAAAAGGGCTAAACAGCTGCTAGCATTAATGCAATTTGAATTTGGTAGGAATGGGATTATTGTGAGCATGTTGGGTAAAATGGTCAAGATTTCAATTTTAAGTGAAGAGGTGAAATCAAGATTCTTTAAAAAAATGCTATGTGTTCCTTCGTTGTAATCATGTTTTTTCTGTTATTTTAGCTTTTTGTTGTATGGTAAATCCTATTGTTGTCAGCACATGCATGACAGATTTTCTCACATTTCAATATTTACCCACAAGTTTAATTGCATAAATCACACATCCTCAATTTTTTCTGACCTCTACCCTCCATTTTAAATCATCAGTTTACAAAACATGATCTTTCAAGACACTTTTTCCCCTGCTTGCGATGTTCAGTATTTTCTTGGAAACTCTCACCTCACCATTATCTCTTCCTTTTGTTGTTGTACAATATTTTTCACCACTTCACCAATGTTGTTGCATTCATTATTTGTTTGATTGGTATTCAAATTTGAAAGAATGATAAAATAATAAAAATAAAATTAAAATAAAAAATAATGAATGCAATTTGGAAATGACACACCTATCATCTGGGAATCCATTAACTTGTAATTGGAAGTTAGGCAGCATTTGGGACCATTCATTGTATGTATTTTAAAAAAAAAAAATGTTTTTCTGTTGCCTTAGTTGTCAGAAACAAGGCATTACATTCCCCCAGATGACATGTTAATGTCTATGCACGTTGTGTTGTTTGCTTGAGCCTGCATGAGCCTTTTTTGTTGTTTAGAAAACTGGAACAGCAATCCGAGCTATTGGTCGCATGGCATCTTTGCAACGTTTAATGTCAGGAAGCACCGTGAGTAGCACAAGCAGTGGTCGGGAACGTTGTGACAGCAACGCGAGCAATAGCTCAAACAGTGCATGCTGGGATACTGACAACTCCACGTCTGATAAAACCCATTTCTCCTCTCCTTCTAAGGTTTGTGACGATATGGATGACATCGATGCCATGATAGAAACCCCCAAGGATACCATTCAACAGACAACCCAAGGTACCCTTTCTTTTACCAAGGAGGTATCTAAAGAACAAAGGGAGACAACCACATCTGATGACGCTCCTGACTTGAAGCAAAAGAAGAAAACCTGCCCCGATCACAACGGGAACGTTGCAATATCAAAACAAAATGGATATAACGATGCTGATAATACTACCGATGGCGGCACTTCACCCAATTTTATCAAGGAAATGTTAGACTGTGAAGCCTTTACTGGTGATGTAATCCGCTTCGACGTACGGGTTGCAGGCAGCCCAGAACCTGAATTTCATTGGTTGCATGAAGACGAAGAGGTTCAAGAAGATAGGCGGCATATTGTAGATGTTAGTGACAATGGACAATGTTCGTTAATCATTCGCAACGTAACGGAGGCAGACGAGGGGGAGTACAGCTGTGTCGCAGTGAATGATAATGGTGAAGCATCATGCTCTGCAGAACTTATCATCTGCAGCATTGGTGCAATATGATTGGTGAAAAATTCCAAATATGCTTTCCATTGGTAAATGTTGCCATTTATGACATCAACCGATTGAGACTTTTCACTGCTGTGAGATTTGAGTTTAGGGTGGGTGTTATGGCTGAAAGTTATTTTTGTTTGACCAGCTGAGATGTGATCAGCCATGTTGAAAAATGTCCTCCCCCATGTCCTCCATTGTCCATCTAACCCAATGCATTTTTGCAACCAGACTGACTTATTGTTCATTATCTGGCTCTAGTGACAGATCCATTCTGTGGGCTCCTCCAATCAGAATGGAGAACACAGAATGTACCTGTGATATAAGCCAATGAAAATGATGAACACGTATTAAAGTGGTGCTGATCCTGTGACGTCATGATATTATGTATGTATACTACACAGAGTGTCTATACCTGTTTTTATTATTATTTTTAAAAATGTACTTTTCAGTTGTCTGTCAGTGTAGATAGATCTACCTGGTTTATGTACAGTGTAAGGCTATGTTTGTCCATCAGCGCCCAAGATTTTCTTGGATATGGACAATCTCTCCACATTTTTTTCAATTTTGTTTCTTTCTTCAATGTTTTTTTTTTTATTTAAATTATCTTAAAATGTGTGGAGTCTTGTCCAAATCCATTTTTCGATGACCCTCTTTCTGCCCTGATGAGCGTTGATGGATGAACATGATTTGTTGAATCAGAGACTGTTAGTCATAATACTGCTATTGTATATTTGATGTAGATAAAGGAACACTGTTGCAAGACTGTACAGATGCTCAGGATGAACATACTTGGAGGTATTTATGTGATAATTATGTGCTGGTGAAACAGTCTTTACCCATTGGGCTTACACTAGCATTCAACGGAGACTTACACCATAGATAGTTCAGTATAGTGAGAGTGTGCATCCATACACTGTACATGAACTTTGCTCAATAAAATATCCAAATAAATGTTCTCTTGTAGTGGTATTTGATGTCAAGCCAAGGTGAGTGAATGAGTTTAGTTTTACGCCGCTTTTAGCAATATTCCAGCAATATCACCACGGGGGACGCTAGAAATGGGCCTCACACATTGTACCCATGTGGGGAATCGAAACCGGGTCTTGGTGTTACGAGCGAACACTTTAACCACTAGGCTCCCCCAAGCCCCTCCAAGCTAAGGCCAGCAAGCACCAGTACAGGGTGGTGATGACAAGGGCTGCAACGATTCACCCAGACCTTGATTCGTTCATTTTCGATTCAATTCTACATACAAGTAAAACATCAGATTTCATTTAACTCTCAAAGTCGGTGTATTTAGGTGAAATCCATCATCAACTTGGCGATGTCTACTAACAGCAATTCTCAATGGAAAATTAGCCCGGCGTCAACCAATCACATTTTGCCTTATGTCAGCGCTCGAAACTGTTCGAGTTAGGAGTCAAAATTACGTTCTGGCTGTGTGGAAATAATTTGAATAGGTGAGGTGAAATTGGGTTTAATATCGTGTTTGAGAATATTTCGCTCATATGACGACGTGCATGCATGTGTATGTGTATATGCGGCTGCTTGTACTAGCCCAGACTGAAGCTGGTTTTATAGTGCTAGCCCACTGAGATACCATGCAGCAGTGAAGCATGAATACCCCACTCGGACACATACTGACTCCGAGCCAACCAGTCCTTGTTGTACCCATTAATGCCGAGCACCAGGCAGGGACCAACAAGTACCATATTTTAACGTCTTTTGGTATGACGAGGGCGGACGCTCTAGCCACTACACCAGGGAGGCGGTCAATTTGAATAGGTAGTCAAATATCAAATTGAAATAGGGGCAAAGGGTGTCGATTAGATTTTCGTTTCAAACTGAATCGTTGCAGCCCTAGTGATGACAACAACAGACATTCCAACATGATCTTGAATGGGATCTTGAATCGTCTAAGTTTTCGGCTGACATTCATTTGTTTTTTGTTGTTGTTTTACTCCGCACTCAGCAATATCCCAGCTATATGGCGGCAGTCTGGACCCGACAATCCAGTGATCAACATCATGAGCATCGAACTACACAAATGGGATACGATGACATGTGTCAACCAAGTCCGTGAGTCTGACCACCTGATCCAGTTAGTTGCCTCTTAGGACAAGCATGCTGACATTGAAGTCTAGTCTCTGGTCTAGAGGTTAGCTTGCTGAAGAAGAGGTACTTTGTACCTGGATCAGTGTTAATGAACACCATACATTTGGTCATTCCTCTGATCAATTTGTCATAACCCATACCATGTAACACCAGTGAGTGAGTTTGGTTTGACGCTGCTTTTAAGCAAAATATCCATAAATAGAATGGTGGGGGGCACTAAAAATGGGCTTCACCCATGTAGAAAATCGATCCCAGGTCTTCGCTTTAACAAGGCTACCCCACTACCCCATTGGTGAGGATACCAAGGTCAGCAAAGGGGGATGGTCCTCACAGCATGACAATGACAACAACCAGGTATGGGGCTGACAAACCTGGGGTTCAAACATGGTATTGAACACCACTGTTGAACACCATACATTTGGTCATACCTCTGATAATTTTTTGTCATAACCCATACCAGGTAACAGCTGTGAGTGAGCAGCTGCTCTTAGCTAAATATTCCAGCAATATCATGGCAGGGGACAAAAATTGGCTTCACACATTGTACCCATGTGGGGAATCGAATCTGGTCCCATGTGGAGCTAACACTTTAACCACTAGGCTACCACACCCTCTAACAACTGTGAAACTGAGTTTACAGAAAATCCACATTTGCCTTCATACTGGTCAAGACATTCCAAATGCTGTCTACTGATTGGCCCAAATGAAAATGCCTTGCCAACTAGTTCTGTCTTTACCCTGGGACAGTTACCCAGGGGCCCACAGAATTCTAGGAGCCCAATGCTTATACTGTGACTTGCTGTCAAAAAGAGGCATCAATGCACTGTTTTGTCCCTGTTTTGCTGCCCCATCTGTCAAGAATGTTTCTCTGTTTCATCCCAGACACGTTTAGTAAGGAAGAGATATTTATTGATTGATTGATTGTTGTTTAACGCCGCATTCAGCAATATTCCAGCCATATGACGGCGGTCTGTAAATAATTGAGTCTGGACCAGACAATCCAGTGATCAACAGCATGAGCATCGTTCTACACAATTGAAATACGATAACATGTATCGACCATGTCAGGGAGCTGGACCACCCGATCCTACTAGTCGCCTCTTACCACAAGCATGGGTTACTGAAGACAAATTATAACCCGGATCTTCACGGGTATAAGGAGGAGATGGGGACAAATAACTGTTACCATGGCAACCAACCGAACGCGTTTGTCTTGTTGACATGGCGTATCAAGACACACAGCTTTGACTGTGTATAACACGCCCTCGAAGAAATAATATCTTTTTTATGACTATTAAAATGACTTCATTTGGTGTGATTCATGCTTTTAGCAAGTCAAAATCGTGTACCTATATTGGCAAGGCTTTATTTCCTTCTTGAACCTTTGTTTATGAGCTTCTGGTAAACAACCACTTCTATTCACTTAAAAAACAACAAACACAGAAACATCAACAAGTGTGCATGAACATGTACAAAATACGTCCTGAAAATTGCATTAATATCAGAATAAACATATTGTAGCTGGACTTTAAATGAATGAGTTTAGGTTTGTGCCGCTTTTAGAACGGTGGGGGACGCCAGAAACAGGCATCTCACTTTGTAACCATATGGGGAATCGAACCCGCTCTTTCTCGTGGCCAGCGAACGCTTTAACCACTAGGGAACTTTATATGAAGCACAACTACATGCTAGTTCCTACCAGTAAACATGTGGAAACCTGCACACCACCACTGACACATATCAAACAACAAGTCTCGGAACCAGACCACGTTATGGACGAAATATGCCCCGAAACCACCTCTTGACGCCTTATAAAAGTTGGTCTTCAGCAACCCATGCTTGTCGTAAGAGGCGACTAACGGGATCGGGTGGTCAGATTCGCTGATTTGGTTGACACATGTCATCGGTTCCCAATTGCGTAGATCGATGCGCATGCTGTTGATCACTGGATTGTCTGGTCCAGACTCGATTATTTACAGACCGCCGCCATATGGCTGGAATATTGCTTAGTGCGGCGTAAAACCAAACTCACTCACTCACCTTATAAAAGTAAGAACAAATGTGCAAAGTGTATGTGAAGCGAACGTACAATACCTTCTTAGTGAAATATCTTCGCGGCTTCGACGCTAATTACTTTCACACTTTTCTTAATATCTTATTATATGTATTTTGAGTGAGTGAGTTTAGTTTTACGCCGCACTCAGCAATATACCAACTATACAGCGGCGGTCTGTAAATAATCGAGTCTAGACCAGAAAATCCAGTGATCAACAGCATGAGCATCGATCTGTGCAATCGGGATATGATGACATGTGTCAACCAAGTCAGCGAGCCTGCATGACCACCGATCCCGTTAGTCACCTCTTACGACAAGCATGGGTTACTGAAGACCAATTCTTACCCGGATCTTCACGGGTCATTATATGTACTAGTATTTAATAACCGTACATTGGTAATTGAAAGTAGGACTGTTTACTCCGTTATAAGTGATCACACGTTTTCTGTAGGGCGGATGTTTGTGATTCTCCAACCACGTCATACTTTCAAATGACCTCACCCACTATGAATGGTGACAAACGTAACCTTTTAGTTCCCTTGATGCCATCAAGCCCCGGGTCCCCTAAACGGAACCCAGCAATATTTGTAGCTCTATTATGGAAGTCTGTGAAAATAATCCAATCCAATGATTCACATAAGCATCGATTTACGTAGTTGGGGGACGATGATATGCATCCACCAAAACACGTGCGACCACACATTAGATTCAGTAAGTACCATTAGAGTGAGTGAGTGAGTATGGTTTTACGCCGCTTTAAGGATATTCCCGCTGCATTACGGCGGGGTACACCAGAAATGGTCTTCACACATTGTACCCATGTGGGGAATCGAACCCGGGCCTTCGACGTATCGATCGAACGCTTTAACCACTAGGCTATCCCACAGCCTCAAGTATGTATAGGTATATTATTTTATAAATCCATTTTCTGGACTTAAGACGGTATTTATGCATCAACAAATTCAGAGATTACTGTTATATTGCCTTTCCTACTCTTGACGAGGGGGTGATGCAGCTAAGAGGTTGCAACATTCACTCGTCACGATGAAAATGGCTACACCTGTGTGAAAACCATTCCTGATGTTTAATACTTCAATATACTTTTGGTAAAACTACACCCATTCCTGTTCGCGATATAGTCTTCACGAAGTATAGAGAGAATGTAAACCTTTTTGCTTGAGTAAGATAGGGGAGTAAGATAGGGGAGGAGACAAGGTTTGTTCTGGTTTGTTGTTGTTGTTGTTGTTGTTGTTGTTTAAGGAAGCACTTGGCAAATTCCAGCTATATGACGGCGGTCTGTTTCGAGACAAGGAAGTGTCTCACAGTTTTTACAAACAAATATAAGAATTTCCCCTTGTGAGATTTCTCAGATTTCATTGGTCAACAGTGATGTAGTACAAGGATGGTAAAAATGATTATCACACATATGAATTATAAATGGTAACGCAGTTTTGATGAATATACATAGGGCTGGAAAATATAACCATGCAGGATACTGGATCCAATGCTGTTCCAAACTACAGAATGGTCATATCAATATATTCAACCTACAGTAATACTTAATTCAAACATACATGGACCCAAGAGCACAAACAAGTCGAATCTTTCAGTCGAAAGAATATTTCTGATTAAAATTAATTATTAAGTTTATTTGTATGTTTTGTATGCATAAGTCGTGTATGTGAAATATTTGATTTCCTATTTCCGATCAGGTAAAACACTTTGATTTGTCCACAAGAAGCTGCTACCATAAATGCTGGATTGTTTCAGATTTTGTTGGTACGATTAGCGTAAGTGCCATTTATTGAAATAGTCTCAAGCGAGTGAGCGGATCTGTGCCCCTTTAAAAAAAATAAATAACGCCGCTTTTGATAGTATTCAACTCATATCTCGGCATGTGGTCTTAATTTGGGAGGAAAACCCGAAGTAACGCAGGGTTCAGACATTTACCACTGCGGTTGAACCCAGGAGTCTTGATATTGTACCGACAAACCTGGATTCGAACCCACAGTCATAAATTACTTGCATGCACCTCTGTAAGGCTGTACAATTTTCTGAAAAGTCGGAGTCAAGGAAAAACAACTTCTATGTATAGTCAACTTCTTTATTGCACTTAGTGCGACGTTTCGGTGTAGGTACTAACACCGTTATCAAGCAAGTGATGTCTGATAATGGTGTCGCACTAAACGACGCATTCACTTCAATAAAGAAGTTGACTATCTAATCCATAGAACATGCAATTGGTTTTCCTTCATCTTTACAACTTCTAAAATGGCTCTCAAAGAAGTATGAGTCAGCTGAAAAGTAGAGCGCCATATGGCTAAAATCCGATTTGTAGTAAATAGTGTTGCTTTTGAAGTGTAGAATCTATATGTGAATTCTTGAAACCAATTCCGAATATCTCGCCAGATACTGATCCCAAATTGGCATATCCGCTGTCAGCTTGTAAACACGTACCTTGGACGTATCTTTACAAGCTGACAGTGGATATGCCGGGATCAGTGTTAATTAATATGCAGTATAACGCCCCACTCCGCTGTATGACGACGGTTTATATATAATCGAGTCTGGACAGTCAACAATGACATGCTGTCAACAAAATCAAGAAGCCTATCGCTCACACACTCAAGTTTTCTTGTGACTAATTGTTGTTAACATAACAGATACACACATTCGTATTCATAACTGCTATTTTTTTCATAAAAAAAGAGAATTTCATAAGATCGAAAATACAAAAACAAAAATTACGTCGTCCCTGGGTGGGCTCGAACCACCAACCTTTCGGTTAACAGCCGAACGCGCTAACCGATTGCGCCACAGAGACATCGCTGTGCACCACAGATAAGTTTAGAACTATAAACGTGATTCAAATAACTGTCGTGCTTTGTTATGTTGGATTTTTTTATGGACACCCTAGTGAGGTAAGAAGTAACCGCTGTTCCCGTCGAACTCGTGGTATTCCGGGACAGGCCGATTGACGGATTACGGAACGGGGCGAATGCTGCTTACATTCAACCGACGCATACAAATGGTGTTCTATAAATATCGAATGTTATGCGCAAATGTGTAAGTTAGAGTTACCTCCCCTCACTTATATTGCGCGCAAAGTAACTTTACAGGCTTCAGGGAAAACGTGTGTTCCTTTGGTGTTACAGGCTTATACGTTACTCACCAAAGAAAGTGTATTACATGTATTGCTGAGAATTCAATCCTGAACGAAGAAACTACCACCAAAGTGACTTGACAATATATCTGCTTTTAGTTGAGATTTCTAAGATGGAAATTTAAGGGATTGTCACTTTTATTAACAAATTTCAGAATTAATCAAAGTTAATTATTCTTGAAACTGTAACAAGTGGGATTCATGCTGCATTGAACAATATTTCACGGCATGTCCGCTAAATACTGGCGTGAGTGAATATAGTTTTACGCCGCACTCAGCAATATGGAGGCGGTCTGTTAACAATCGAGTCTGGACCAGACAATCCAGTGATCTACTGCATGAGCATCGGTCTGCGCAGTTGGATACCAATGACATGTGTCAACCAGCGAGCCTGACATCCCGAACCCATTAGTCGCCTCTTATGACAAGCATGGCCTACTGAAGATCAATTCTAACCCGGATCTTCACGCGGGTACTTAATACTAGAAGAAAGTCCGAAGTGGTGCAAGCTTTAGACGTTCAGTCATACCACATGGACTACTTGAAATTTTTTATCGCCTGATACTAAAAGAAAAAAAAGGCCTAATGGGTGACCAGTCTTCATGATCAGTTGTCTCGCTGGCTAATAAGGGTCGCAAGGAATATCTAGTCATGGTGAAATGGGTTACTTGCATTTGATAGTTGAATCTATGCTGCTTACATGCCAGCAAATCTACGGGGCAAAATAGTTAGGGATATATGTTAATTTTGAAATTATGAATAATGATCTATTTATTCATTGACACGTTGATAAAATACCAATCATAGAAATACCAATATCCCTAACTTATTTTGTCCAGTATATACAAAGCTGTATTTCCGGTAATAAACTAAACACAACTTCACTGTAGGAAGCATTCTCCCAAAAAGGGTTTGGGCAATTGTTAGCAAAGGCCTGTCATGATTTTTTGACAAAAAGATAAAGCCATAGTACGCAAGTGAATGGTCCGTGTCATGGGGAATGGTGCCCTACCTCCTTACAAGAATATCTCGATGGAGTTTGAAGATGGCAGTGAGCCCTTCGATTACATGTAGTAATGATCGACTGATAAATGTCATACAATTGTCCCGTCAATTTTAGTGGGCAGCACTGAAAGCGTCAACTATCAAAAGTTTCGTGTCTCGACGTCTCTTTGTTGTTTAACGCGGGATTTACACCTCGGCCTGTAAATAATCGAGGCTGGACCAGACAATGTAGTGATTGGCATCGTTAGCATCGATTTCCGCAATTGTATACGATGACATGTGTCAACCAAGTCAGCAAGCTTGACCACCCGATTCTGTTAAGCATGGGTTGCTGAAGAACAATTCTAACCCGGATCTTCACACAACGATGCAGTTGAGGAATGATGGAAAGTGGAAATTGACCAAATGTGTTGAAAAGTAGGGTCACTCTATAGACCAAAGTAGGAACTTTGTATTTATCACAATCTAAATATTAATTGCTGAACTCCTATCATCATATTTTTTCTATACCCTAACCTTTCGTTTTGAAATTGTGTGAGCGACGGAACTTTAGGTGCAAAGATATAGACTAATTACAGGTCAGCATTACCATTTTTGTTTTCGGTAAATCTTGATTCCGGTAGTAGAATCGACTCACCAATCCGGGGCCTGTTGTCTCTTCTTCCAGAATCCATATATTCACGTATCACACCACTGATTCCTCCTATACTGAAACACAACAAGAACACAAAACAAGCTTTAACTACAGATCAGAAAAGGTGTTGTTGTCATTAAATTCATTTCCACACCGTACAACACTGTTGTTTGATTACCTCATGCCTAAATACCCAGAACAAAGACATTGGAGTGAGTGAGTATAGTTTTACGCCGCATCTAGCAATATTCCAGCAATATCACGGCGAAGGAACACCAGAAATGGGCTTCACACGTACCCATGTGGGGAATCGAACCCGGGCCTTCGGCACGACGAGCGAACGCTTTTTAACCACTGGGCTACCCCACCGCCCCAAAAGACATTGGAATTGTGTGGCGATTTTGCCAAATGTTACAAAGAAAATGGAATATTCGTTCTCAAAGTGTTTCAGTGGGTATGTTTTTTATTCAGGATATGTAGATCATTAGGACCATAACTCATAAAGACTTTAGATGAAAGGTCCGACTTTACACATTCAATACAACATCATTATAGTGAGTTGGTTTGTTGTTTAACGCCGCACTCAGCAATATTCCAGCTATATGGCAGCGGTCTGTAGATAATCGAGTCTGGACCAGACAATCCAGTGATCAACAGCATGAGCATCGATCTACGCAATTGGGATGCGATGACATGCGTGTGTCAACCAAGTCAGCGAGCCTGACCACCCGATCCCGTTAGTTGCCCCTGACAAGCATGAGTTGCTGAAGACCAATTCTAATGGGTATATGTATATGTTTTAAGGGGTTTGCAGTAACAATCCATCAATATCACAGAATAGGGACACAGAGTAGGGACACTAGAAATGGGCTCCAAGCATTGAACCCACGCCGGAAATCCAATCCGGCTGACACGCACGAACCCTTAAACCACTAGCAATAGGCTACGTCATCGCCCTAATATCAACGTAGGTTATCATCAAATGCAATTAATTCGCATCTCAGTTGTTTTCCGTCCCTTGGTTTTGCTCAAAGAAACTAAAATACATAAACATTAAGCTTCGGTACCCGGGAAGAACCGGGTTAGAATTGATCTTCAGCAGCCCATGCTTGTACAGAAGGGGTCGTTGTCGACACATCTGTAGTAGCTGTCATGTTTGTCGTAAGAGGCGACTAACGGGATCCGGTGGTCAGGCTCGCTGACTTGGTTGACACGTCATCGTATCTAAATTGCGTAGATGGATGTTCATACTGTTGATCACTGGACAGTCTGTCGCCATGTTACTAGAATATTGCCGAGTGCGGCGTTAAACAAGGAAACTTAGTTTCGATACAACTTAGTTTTCATACATTTCAAAGGTACTCCCAACAATAAAGAGTGCTTTCACGACGAGGAGGGTCTTACTTTCATGCATGTTAAAAAAATTCACATCTCCATGGATTTGTTTAAAATTGTACATGTGCAGTTATCGGCGCTTAAACAAAAGTTATGCAAATGTATGTAGAGTATTTGTAGCTTATAGAATATTGCCACTGTTCTTCATGAAAAGGTTATGCAATAAAATATCTTAATCTCTTAAACCAGATACAACAGAAAGAAAGGACTGACGGACACACGCACGCACTGACGAGCGGACGGACGGACGCACGCACATAAAATGACAAAGATATTCACAACAGTTAAAACACGACCGAAAGCAAGTCATGGCATTCATTGGTAGTAGTCTATGAATAGGATCGGACCTTTCTTCTCATTATACCGTCCAAGCGACCGTGCTCTACAGGTGAATATATAACGACGAATAACAATAACAGTAGATACGATACAGTGTTTGATATCAATAATATATTTTTCAATACATGTCTTTAAACAGTTTATAATAGATGTCTTCGTAGTTGTTAGCTACAAAACTGTGCAATGTTTATATTAATTGGCCTTTTAAAGCCACCCAAGAGAGGCGGAAAATGGTTCCATATGTTCTTTAATAAACAGCCACAAACGTCGTCTTTTTAACGTGTTGCTCACTCGTCTGTGTCTGTCTACTTGGAGATCGCACTGTGAGTGGTTTTACCCTCGATACATTCTCACCAGCATGGCGCCTTTGTTCGACCTGCTTGTCCACGTGTGTAGTTCTCAGTGGGGCGGCAGGTGTCATTGCCTAGACTTGATCCCCGAGGAGGGAGGTGGGGGGTAGGGGAGATAGGCTGAGCACTCACAGGTGAAAAATGTGCCCGGCACGACACGGACTGGCGCTCTGGGTCAAGTTAGGAGAAAGGCCAAGAGGTCATGCCATTGCATAGGGTCACTGAGGTCAACGGTTTAAGAGATGGAAGCCTTTCCCCGTCGACATACAAAAGCTCCCTGTGTAAAGGTACCATTGTGGTTCACTGATCGTATACGATAGGGGAATGGCCATCCATCATAAAACATACCTTTTCGAAGATATTATTTTGACAACCTAACGTTATATGGCTTAAAGAAATATATGTTACCGCAACATGATTGCCTGCGGTCATGGCGAAGGGGTGAGGTGAAATTGGGTTCAGTTGTTCTGTGTCTGGCGCATGTGTGCGCGTGTACCAGTCCGGGCTGATGCTGCTTTCATGGCGCAATCCCACTGAGATGCTGTACTGTATATTCTGTCTGAACTACATTCTATCCCAATTGCGTAGATCGATGTTCATGCTGTTGATCACTGGATTGTCTGGTCCAGATCCGATTATTTACAAACCGCCGCCATATAGCTGGAATATTGCTGAGTGCGGCGTATAACTAAACTCACTCACTCCCTGAACCGCATTTCCCCCTCCGCTCATCCCTCTCTGCAATACTGAATCCCTATAAGAAGAAAGTCTAGATTTCCTCAGGTTCAGGGTACTGAATCTCACTGGGGCTCCTTTTCAGTTTAAACGGAATTTGGATTTTTTGCTACCAAACTATAAACATTCAGAGACTAAGCGTTATCCTAAATTCCGCACTGCACTGTACTCCACCCAGACAGTATAGTGACTCCGACCAGTCCTAGGTATTTCCCCTTGCGACGGAAGTGCCATCTTTTCACGTCGGTTTGGTAAAACGCGGCCGAAGATGATCCGTAAAAGATTTCCCCGTTTTGGTCGTTAGGTTACGTAAACTACAAGACTGTACCTCAGTTACACATTTCCATACAATTGTGTTTGAATGTGCATAAATATACAACAGACATCTTTAATGCTTATATGTTGTGCTTGTCTGTCTCACAGTCCCTGAACCACATTATTTTCCCTACAGCCAATCCCTCCCTGTAGTGCTAAAGCCCTAAACGAAGCAAGTCTAGATTTCCCCAGGTTCAGGAATCTCTGGTCTCCCTAGGGCTCCTTTTCAATTTAAATGGGTTTGTTTGTTACTATCAAAATTATACATATTCAGAGACTAAGCCTTAGTCTAATGTTGTGCCAAAAGACCACTGTAGCTTTGAGGGCTCTACATGCATGTGTTGCTTCGATTCCCAAGCATATCTCAAGACTTGCAGTTGTCTCAGGATTACCCCCACTGACTGCCAATTATTGCGAGTTTGTTTGCTTGTTTATTGTTTAAGGCCGCACTGTCCCAGCTACATGACGGGACTGTTTTCAATGTGACTGTCAGGCCGGCCATGTTTAAACCTTTTCGTGATTACATTGCTTGGATCATCAATGATTGTACATCGCCCTTGAGTGAGATACAGCGTCTGTATGGCGTTCAGCCGTAATGAGTGAGTGAATGAGTGAGTGAGTGAGTGAGTTTAGTGTTACGCCGTTCTCAGCAATATCCCAGCTATATGGCGGCGATCTGTAAATAATCGAGTCTAGACCTAAAAATCCAGTGATCAACAGCACGAACATCCATCTACGCAACTGGGATACGATGATATTTGTCAACCACGTCAGCGAGCCTGACCACCCGATCCCGTTAGTCGCCTCTTACGACAAGCATGGGTTACTGAAGATCAATATTCTAACCCGGACCTTCACGGGTCCGTTCAGCCGTAAGTAATATCACGGCGGTGGACAATAAAAATGGGCTTCAGACATAGTGCTCACGTCGGGAATCGAACCCGGGCCTTCAGCGAACGCTTTAACCACCAGGCTTCGTCTTCATAATCATTGGCGTCTTCATAAATGGTCATCGTCTTCATGATCATCGGCAAATGGTCATCGTCTTCATAATCATCGGCAAATGGACATCGTCTTCATAGTCATCGGCAAATGGTCATTGTCTTCATAATCATCGGCAAATGGTCATTCGTCTTCATAATCATCGGCAAATGGACATCGTCTTCATGATCATCGGCAAATGGACATCGTCTTCATGATCATCGGCAAATGGACATTGTCTTTATAATCATCGGCAAATGGACACCTTCTTCATGATCATCGGCAAATGGTCATTGTCTTCATAATCATCGGCAAATGGACATCGTCTTCATGATCATCGGCAAATGCACATCGTCTTCATAATCATCGACAAATGGACATCGTCTTCATAATCATTGGCAAATGGACATCGTCTTCATAATCATCGACAAATGGACATCGTCTTCATAATCATGGGTGTCACACCCCCTGACTGCTGGCGGACCTCGTGATATCGGACTGAAGTGTCGCCAACTCAGAGACAGCTCGGGGCTGGTTAAGGCAGAAGGCAACACGGTGTGGGACATGTCTGCGTCCATCTAGGTTGGTTTATCTCTTGGTTTTGATATGAACGAAAAAGAGCCGATATTCGCGCAGACATCATCGACGTGCACTGAATATCGACACCGTGCTGCTGAACTTCAAGCCCATGGTCCAGATGTACAGATAAGCTGCGTATCTGCGTAAATTACACAAATATTTATGTGAAAACTCAATTTCTATTAAGTCTATTGCGTAGTCTAGTACGCTTGAAGTTTTGTAAATACTCAATAAATTTGATCTTACATGTGTACACATAAAAATGCCAAGTCTTAGCTTGCGTACGGGTGGATAGATAAAACAACTCGATATATTGAGAGGTTCTGTTTCAACACATGAACTGGCAACTTGCAGTCTTTCTTATCGTTTCTGATATTACA